ACTACTACTATTATTACTACGACTACTACTACTACTACTACTACTATTACTACTACTACTACTACTACTGCTACTACTACTACTACTATTACTACTACTACTACTACTACTACTACTACTACTACTACTACTACTACTACTACTACTACTACTACTACTACTACTACTACTGCTACTACTACTACTACTGCTACTACTACTACTATTACTACTACTACTACTACTACTACTACTACTACTACTACTACTACTACTACTACTACTACTGCTACTACTACTACTATTACTACTACTACTACTACTATCACTACTACTACTACTACGACTACTACTACTGCTGCTACTACTGCTGCTGCTACTACTGCAACTACTACTCCTACTACAACTATTATTACTACTACTACTGCTTCTGCGGGTACTGCTGCTGCTACTGCTACTGTTGTTGTTGTTGTTGCTGCTACTACTGCTACTACTGCTACTACTACTTCTCCTGATACTACTACTATTACTACTGCTACGGCTACTGCTGCTGCTACTGCTACTGCCGCTGCTGTTGCTGCTGCTGCTGCTAATATGCTACCAATTTCTGACTTTATACTTGAATGGAAGTTGTTTTATCAGGGGCGATTCGGATGATATCCTTTAGTCTATCGATGAAGTAAAGGAAGCCATCGTCATCGTACTGCACGAGGTCTCCCGTGTGCATCCAACCATCGCTGTCAATGGTGCGTGCCGTCGCCTCAGGGTTGTTGATGTAGCCGCGCATTATATACGCACTACGAACGCACAGTTCCCCCGCTACACCAGAGGGCAGCAGTCTCTTAGTAATTGGATCCACAACCTACATAAACGCGATGACCATAATTATAATTAAAACGTTTTAAATGCATTACGTTTTATTCTATTGTTGCATTGTTTTGTCGCATGAAATATAATTCGCATTACCTATAGGTAAACTAACGCAATCAATCGACCCCCGGGTATTTGTACAAAATGCAACGATATCAGTATCATATCTGTAAATTGACACAGTTAAGGTGTGACTCACACAATCTTGACCTCATGTCTACGCGATATGGCAAGACTATGAATTGCTTTGGTCGACTACTAGCTATTTCGCACATTATGTCCATAACACCAAGAGCTAATTATACCTTTTGATTATTAGCTCTTGATATCACGTGCAACGGCAAGCGTCCCTGCTGATTACCTTAGCTTGTGATTTTGCGACAGGTTTTCCCATAAGAACTCCTCGTTTGTTACTAGCTTGTTCGGTTTCTGACGCGGTGTTTATAAGAAATCCGATTTCACTCATTCCATAGAGACCTAAGGGAACGAGACTAATCTGTCATACAATGCTAAGCACTACGTGTTCTGAACACGACAATATCAATATTTTTATGCATAAATATTTTATCAAATTTGTTTTAATTGTCAATATATTTTGCTAATTTTCATCGAAGACTTACCAGTATTAATAACTAGGTGCGGATGCGTAATTCTAGCTTCTCTGATAACTGTGGGACTGCAGGTACTGCCAGCTGTGTCACAGCGTTGTAGTGTTGGTAGCTCGTAACCTTTCTTTACTAGACTGACGATCAGTGGAGGAATGCAGAATATATAGGTGGCCTAGATTTAAACATAGTGAAATCATTTTAGGGAAAATCGTGAACAAGCGGGAATATTATTGTTATACGTTACAAACCCGCACGCACTCACGCATGCACACACGCAATCACAAACGCACGTAGGCACGCACATATACATACATAGACACGCGCGCGCACACACACACGCGCGCGCGCACACAAGCACACACAAACACGCGCATATACACGCATATACATGCACACATATTCGGCATATTACTGAACTGTAAATTGTACCGGTTGTCCATTATTGAAATAACAATATCGAATACACAAGAATTTAATAGTGAACGATTTTTGTAATTTTGGATAATTTTATTAACGTAAATTTAGCGCAATGAAATGTTTTATTGTGCATACCTTATACTTATCAATGGCTATACTGTAGTGCTCAGGATCACTAAGATGAGGTAATGCCAAAAGCGTCGCACCGAGGGACAACGCACTCATTGTCATGTAGGTGGCGCCAGCATGTGACAGAGGAGTCGATAGTAGATAAATGTCTCCTTCTCTCATAGTAATTCTAATAATAAACCGATAATGTTACCCACGGTTAGTTACGGGCACATATTTAATTAGTTGGCACGTTTCCTAGTTTGCCAGAACCGTAGCTGTAGATTAAGAATCGAAATCGAAATACATTTTGCCGTCTCTTAAAAGCTGATGAGGTTGAGACACATGCATGTGCGAGAATAAGTAATATAAGAAATTATAGTTGTAGCAACAGCCGGTATTCATCTTGTTTGTATGCTTGTTTATCTGAGAGCGTTATAGAGCTTCGATTAATAATGACAATGGTAAGGATTTGTCTCAGTGGCTCTACAGAGATGCATAAATTCAATCTGGTACATGTTGTTTTGAAATGAACATGGGGCGGTCTAGTTAATCGAAGACCATGCAAACATATCTGCATCTTGAGCTGCGCCTGCTGATTGGAACAAAAAGAACAGAGCAAACACACGCTCGCGCTTATATTCTCACCGAACGAATGAAAAGATAGTCCGACGTTCAACATATATTTACCGATTCACAGTCAAATTTTGATAACAATAATATATAACCGGAAAAATGTTAGATTAGACGCTAGTAGTATTACGCCGCAGTTATTGTCAAGATATATATCGCTTGTGATATAGATCATATCAAAGTTGTACATCATTACATGATACCAGTCTATCACACACAAAATATAAAGTGATAACATTGTAAAGTGATACATTTTTGATAAAAACAGAGTGCTACTCAGTCCATAATCCTGGTCTATCTTTGTCTGACGTGCCATAAATTGTGTATGCCGCCGGTAAATATCGCTGAGATAATTTGATAAAACATGTTTGATCTGTGTACCATTAAATTTTTTCGGATGGCACTGTAGACTTGAGTTTCAATAAATACCTAGGCACAGTCATGTGGGAAACGAGTTGTTTGTGAGCCAAAGGTATGCCTTTCGGCGGGCCAGTTGTTCCGCTGGAATATACCACCACGGCTAGGTCACCGGATTCAACACGGTTGTCTTTAGGAAATGCGTCTCCGCTGTCTTCCAGCAAATCAGTAAAAGGTATAAAATCCTTATTCACAGCGCTCCCAATTAAAATCGGGACCTAAAAGAACATGTACAACACAATATGAATTGTTAATAAAGATATGAAAGCTCATCTGCATAGCGACTTCTGCTAGACTGTTTTTTTTTCGTTTTTATGGCAAACAGCATAACACAATAGCGTGCAAATTGTACTTTACTTACCACTCCCATTGTGCAATATTCGATCACTTCCTTGGCCGTTGTGAGCATATCGTTGGCTATAGCACAGAACTTCACGGTGCCACAGGACTTTGCAATTCCTAATTTGTATCTTAACTCGTCTGGAAACATTTATATAAATAAACCTCTATGCAGTGCGTGCGTAGGGCCTACTGCTGAGATTATTACGCTGGGAAAAATTAGAGCCACTGTGTCTAGCCGTTATATCGATGGTACATATCAGAAAGGATGCGAATAAAACAAAACGAGACAGAGAAATAAAATATTGCAAAAGGGGAAAAACTAGTACCGGTTGAGGAACAGTTCATAACGTTATATACCACCAGAGCCTATTCAGAGATTGCTCCCCAAACTGAGCGACCGCCTCCTTTATTCGTATTAATGATTTCAGTTCTATACATCAATAAAAGGCCACGGACTCGTCTGGAATTCTTCCCCTATCCATTAGCGCAAAACCATTTCCCATTATTTATCTGTTAGTCATATGGAATTTTATCTCACCTGAAGGACATCCAGCCAACGCGTGGGTCATGACGCCCCCTAGCGAGTAAACTGCTAGCACGAGGATCACGTACTCAGGACAGTTGGAGCTGTACGCCAACACGACGTCACCTTTCCTGAGGCCGCGCCGGGCTAGACCGCTAGCTACTCTGCTTACGGACTCCCGCAGCTCGCTGTACGACAACCTCCACTCCTTGCTAGCATCAGGTGGTCCAACACTGCGCCCGATCTGACAATATTTAACCACAATTCAATAATCAATGGCATACACGTAGCACTTTGTTCAATACATAGAAGAACGTACCGGTAGTTCATTACTAAAAAATGCACACGTTTAGAAGATGAACATGGAGTGAACAGAAGTGAAGAATATATAGAAAGGTATAAATAATGTAAATTTTAGAATCCAAGGGCAGGCTGAGAGAAAATGAGCAGGGTTAATGGTCATAATAACTAGACACCCGGTGTGAGGATGTGTAAATGAGTTATTAAGTTCGCGCTGCAGTCAAGTAATAAATGCTTCTTCTATTCATCTCACTGGCACTTAGAACAGATTTAATGCGAAAATAATCATTACAATTCATTTCTACGATTAATTTTTACTTTTTTTTTGTTTTATTAAAATCACAATGGCAGAGTGAGAGGTATGAAATGAGAAATATCTCGTAGGTCGCTATAAAATGGATAATAAAATTCTCAACATGACTAATATTAAATCCTTATATCGGAACAGTGTTACCGGAAAATTGTACAAGGGGAAGTTACACGCGAAACTTAATCATAGGTGCACGCACCTAATCCAGGTAAACAAATAGAGTTATCCCTTACCAGCGCTATTGCGTCCTGTGCCTGGGTAAACCAAGAGTGTTTATCAAGGAAATCAGTGACCGACATATCTGGTACATCAACATCGGGGAATGGACTCTCTAATATACGGCCTTCGTGTGTCTCCATTGCGTTGGCGTTTCTACGTTAGCAACTCCGAAATGTTATACGGGGGCAGACTCTCTTTCTCTCTCGCTCTCTCTCTTTCTCTCTCTCTCTCTCTCTCTCTCTCTCTCTCTCTCTCTCTCTCTTTCTCTCTCTCTATTATCAAATTTTTAAGATGAAGTTAGAAGTTCTAGTAGTAGTTCATGATTATAGCCATTGTTCGTCGTCGATCTAATATTATGGCTACTACGAATATATGAAGGTAAATATATACGTAAAACGAAGAAATTGCAAACGCCTACCGATTTTCCAATGCGTCGTGATAATATAACACCGAATCAACTGGTTAACGTCTATTGTGAACCTATAAGTCGTGGCGGATGAGATAAAGATAGTCAAATAAAGATAACCCCAGTCACGTGTCCTTCACATTTTGCATATTAATCAATGTTTAATCGGGGCCATTGACAGAATGTCTATGTCTATAAGAATACGGCGCAAGGCCTATTAGGGCATGACGCGCAGGGGTCGTCTGACCTGCACAATGAATTCATAATTGAAATTTTTTATCAACCCGTGTAATCAACGACAGTGACTGCAAATAACTGCACACACACGCGCGCACCCCCCA